GGGGTGGATAGACCCCCTACCCTGACACGTCGATTAAGGAATTGGCCGTTCTCGGTTCGCGAGAGGGCTTCGCGGCCGTCATTTCTGCGGGTCCCGGTACGTCGGTTCCGGTCCCAGGCCGTTTTCACTGAGGGGAGGTTTACCAAAGGGAGGCTTGTCCACCGCCGAAAAGAGAGCGACTGTGGCAGTCATGGGACCCCCGCTCGCCCAGGCACGTGGCCTCGCGAGGAGCCCCGAGGATCAGACACCTCCAAGCTGGGGGCTCGACCCCTCCGTGCTGGAGGGCCGTGCCTCCTCCGTGCCGAGGGCGTGCCTGCACAGGTGGCTCGGCTTCCGAGGGACCGGCTTTCAGTTCTCGGCCAGGGCGGCCGGCTTCTCTGAGGCCGGGCCTCGGGGAGGGGCCGCTGCAGGCCCCGGGACCCACGGAGCGTGACCTACGGCGCGGGTGCTCTGGCAGAGGGTTTGTTCCATCGGGAGCTGGAGAAGGGGATGCGTCCGCGAAGGGGTGCAGCGAGTCCCTCCTGCCATCGCGCGGGGGGGCGCCCGCAACAACGGCCCCGGGCAGGCTGCAGTGCCCTGCGAGGGAGCGAGAGAGGGAGAGGGACAGAGGAGAAGCGCAGGCAGAAGACGACGAATGCGCAGGCGGGAGAGCAGGGTCAGCGAGGCGGCAGGAATGACGAAAGGGGGGGGTCGGCAGATAGGCCCGAGAGCTCCGAAACCTCACGTAGTGCGGTCTGGGCCCGTTCTGGGAGTTTTTGCCTCAACTTTCGTGTGTTGTTCGGTGCTCGTTTTCAACCCGAAGCGCCGAGCATGTCCTCCTTCCCTCCCTGTATCTCCTCCTCCTCCTCCACCCTCCCCCTCTTCATGCTCCTCCTCCGCCGCCGCCGCCTCCTCCTCCTCTCCATGCCTCTTTCCGTATAGCCACTTTGGCTCCAGCCCGCGCCCGTCCCGGCGGCGGCGGCGCGCGGCTCGCCTCGCCTCCGCCGCCTCCGCCGCCTCCCCCTCCCCCATCGCCCCCCGCCCCCGCGCGATGGTCGACAGCCTGGGGGCCGGCCTGACTGGGCTGCTGGACGAGCTGCTGGCTGAGCAGCTGGACGGCATCGAGGCGCCGCCCGACCCAGCGCCGCCCGAGAAGGGGCGGATCGACTCGCCTCCTGCGCCGGCGACTCCCGTCCAGCCGAGCGGGCCCAGCGCCGCCTGCGCCGCTGACGCCGGGCCGACGAGCCTCGAGGTCCCCAGCAGCGCGCTGAAGGACCGCGCGCTGTCGGTGGACGCGGACCTGGAGGGCCTGCTCAGCGATATAGAGAGGAGGCGCGAGGAGTCGGAGGTCCACTCCGCCGAGCTGGCGCAGCCCGAGGCTGCCTCGCCCCCCGGCTCGCCCACCGCCGGAGTGCCCGCGCCAGCGCCGACCCCCGCGAGCCCCGCCTCGCCGTCGGGGGTGGGCGGCCGCCCCGCGCCGGGGCCGCCGCCCCGGGCGGACGGCATCCCGCGCGCCCGGGAGCTGCAGCTGGGCGGCGCCACGGAGGCCCTCGTCAGCCACGCGGAGGACCCCAACAAGGGCTTCCGGCCGTACATGGAGGACGGGCACAAGGTCCTGGAGCCCCTGCCCGTGCCCGGGTGCCGCCGGGGCGAGTCCTGGAGCTTCTTCGCCGTCTTCGACGGCCACGGGGGCAGATCCGAGGTGGAGTACTGCCAGCAGCACCTGCAGGAAGCCCTGGTGACGGAGCTCCAGAGCAACAGGCTGGACCCTTGCAAGGCCCTGGAGGCCACGTTCCTCAAGATCGACAGCCAATTGGCCATGCTGGGCGCCTGGAACAGCGGCTGCACCGTGACAGTTGCTCTGCTCCATCGACAACCGATGTCCAGCCCGGCCCTGTCCCTGTACGTCGCGAACGTCGGAGACTCTCGCGCGGTGCTCGTGGGAGCCGACGAAGCCCTCCGGCTCACCAAGGACCACCGCCCAGACGACCCCTCCGAGGCGGCGCGCATCGAGGCCGACGGCGGCCGGGTGCACAACCGGCGCGTCTCGGGGAAGCTCGGCGTCGCGCGCTCCCTGGGGGACCACCACCTCAAGAGCGCGGGGGTGAGCGCCAAGCCGGACACCTTTGCGTACGAGGTTTCGCATGGCCACATAGTGGTCATCGCCAGCGACGGGCTGTGGGACGTCCTCGGCGACCAGGACGCGCACGGCGTCCTGCGGGCCTGTGTGGACGGCGCCGTCGAGCAACGTGGCAGCCAGGAGGACGTGAAGGCTGCCTTGCAAGAGACTGCAGCGCAGGCATTGCTGGATCGAGCCAAACAGCTTGGCTCCCGAGACAACATCCTGGTGCTGGCCATTTTTATATGACAGCCGAGCGTGGGCCCAAGGTCGCAAGGCTATGCCATTGTTTTCACTCGACTACCTGGTGTGTCGCCGCACTGCTTTCGATGATGCCATAATTAACTGCATGTGTTGCCTTGGTAGTATGTTGTGTTCTTTTTCGTCTGTTTCACCCATTTGGTAGACGCATGTTCCTTTGTGCCCTGCTTCCTAGCCGCAGCTGGACGCCTGCATACGTAGCGGTCAACAACACCATCCGTGGCTGCGCTGGCTCCTCCCCTCAATGCATCTGCTCTTCCTCGTGCCCGCTGGGATCTCGTGCCCCCAGCGAGGGCTCCACCTGTGGCTTCAGTGGGCGCTCACACGCATGCCGCCGCGTGCCCGTGTCGGCGAACCCCTCGAACGGTTCGTGTCCCCACAGGGGCCCCACGTTGCTGCCCCCACGTGTGGACCTCACCCTGCAGGCCGCCCCGCGCCTGCTCGCACGCACCTCTCTGCCTGCGGCCTCGGATGTTTCGTGCCCTTGCCATCGCTCGGACGTGTGCCTCCCTCCTCGCCAGGGGCCATCGAGGAGCATCCTGGATCATCCTGCGAACGATCAGCGCGCGAAGCCGAACATGCACAGGGGGTGGACGTCCGAGTGATGGCAGGTGCCCCCCGTGGGCTTCCGCGAGCGGCATCGCACGCCGCCCCGCGCCCGCTTCGGCACGCCCCTCCTGCGCTCGGTGCCGCCACGGGGAGCTCCACCTGCGGCCTCTGCAGGCGAGGATGCCGCCCCCCGCCCACTTCTGGCGCACAGCTCGCTCTGATCGCGCCGCCCCCCAGGGAGCTCCACTTTCAGTCTCTGGGCGCAGGCGCGGGCTGCCCCCCGCCCCTGCCGGCGCCCACTCGCACGCGTCGTCGTCCCCCCCCCTCCTCCGCCCCATGCCCGTATCGGCGTGCCCCCACGGGGGGATCCACCCGCGGTGTCCCTGGGCGCCAGCGCATGCCGCCCCCCGCGCCCACTTTGGCGCGCCCCTCGTGCGGAGCGTGACCCTCAGGGAGCTCCATCCTTAGGGGACAAAAAGTGGCATAAACATGAAAACTCGGAGGTCCGCGCGGATTTCTCGGATCGGCGCTGGGGCCCCCTGGCGGCGCCTGCGGCGCCGCCCTTGGCCCGCTCCGCGCGCCAGGGAGGGGGGTCCAGCGCCGATCCGAGACATCCGCGCGGACCTCCGAGTTTTTATGTTTGTGTATTTTTTGTTCCCCTACCCAGAGATCCGACGTCGTGATTTTTTCACTGCGCGGTCCCCGGAAGCCTCGACCCATTCCCCAGGGCCGGTTTTTCATCCTGAGTCGTTTTGTTGACGGTCCCGAGGCCCGGCGAGGGCCCCCGGGGGCAGAAATTAGCGCAAAAAACTCCGTCTTGATTTTTTCAATACGTTGGATCTCTGGGTAATCCTCCCCCCTCTCTCTGCGTCGCTCACGTGGGCGTCTCGCGCTGGCCCGGCCTGCGTGGGCCGTGGCCCGGGGCAGGCCCACGGCGCGGCCCGGGGCCGCCCCCGGCGAGTGAGGGTGCGATCGTTGTTGCGGTGTCGCTGGCGTCCGTCCTTCTCTGCGCACGGGTGCCGCCGGCTGGGAAACGGTCGCCCGCCAGCAGAGATGCCGGAGGGCCCCACCTCCCGACACCGGGAGCCTTGAGACGGGGGTCAATGCAGACGGGGGTTAGCCAGAGCGCCGGATCCTACAGGATCCTGCGAAGACCCCCTCTGGCCGACCCGGGTGAGCGAGCCGCTCGTGGCCGCGAGGCGGCCGCGCCTATTGGCTGACCCCGGTTTGCGAAGACTTGCGTTGCAGTTTTTTTTTGTCCTGCATTGCAGTTTTTGGTTTCCTGCTGACCCGGGTCTGGATTGACCCGGGTCAGAAGATCGCCGACGACACCCCGCGCTCTCGGAGTTGGCGGGCGACCGCGCCGGAGGGGCGTGCGACCTGTAGCAAGAGGAGCGCTCAAGCCTGGCGAGGGACCAGTCGCATTCCCCGTCGACCTTGGAATACGGGGGGAGGGGGGAGGGGCGCTCAAGCCTGGCGAGGGGCCAGTCGCATTCCCCGTCGACCTTGGAATACGGGGGGAGGGGGGAGGGGCGCTCCGACGTCTTGTTGCCCAGACCCAGCGGGAGGGGCGCCTCGACGTCCTGCTCCCTGGGCCCAGCAGGGGCGCTGCGGCTGCCCAGAGGTGCGCCGAGCGCCGTGCCGCCCGGCGCTCGGCCCGCGCCTCGAGCGGCGAGATATCGGCGTCGAACCGAGCGTCGATGGCCAGAAGGGCGCCACGGCGAGCCTCTCCAGACCCCCGACGTCAGGATTTTTTCATGACGCCGACCCCCCGAGGTCTCGACCCATTCCCCGGGACCGGTTTTTCGTCCTGAGTCGTGATGTTGACGGTCCCGAGGGCCGGTGAGGGCCCCCGGAGTCCAAAAATCACGAAAAACCTCCCGCCGTGATTTTTTCATAACTCGAGGGGGGTCTGGGTCTCTTGCCGCCACCTCGCCAGGGCGCGCCGGCCACGGGCGAGGAGCACACCGCCGGCCAGGTCCTGTCCGGCTCGGGCGGCGGCCACGTGGCGACCTTCCAGAGGGGAGCGGGCGGCCTGCCGGGCCACAGGACTCGGCCCCGGCTCCGGATCCGCACCACAGTCGGCCCACCTTTAGAGTCGGTGCGCTGACGAAGGAACCCTTTTCGTTGTGGAGGGGCTCCGTGTTCCTTAATTGTTTCACAGCTTGCCTCAGGGTTTCCTTATGTTTTCGATGGGAAATCGAAGTTTAACTTATGGAAAAAAGGGGCCTCGTTCCTTATTTAGGGTTCCTTAGGTCAACGCCCCGAATGTAGTAAGATTCGATTAGACTTGGATCCCGCCCTACTGGCAGAATCCTATTATCGAGCTTTTCTGCAGGATTCCGTTCGAGGTGGTTCCGTCCCCAGTAGGGTGGATGACAGCTGGATCGAGCATGTGTAGGGTTCTAGCAGGTTTGGATCCAGCCCAGTAGGAGCCCATTAGAGCTGGATCCAGCCATAGTAGCAGGGCTCTAGTAGAGCTGGATCCGGGCCCCGCTGTCGTTCGTGTCAGCGTCGTCGTCGTTGTCGTCGTCTTCGTCGTCGTCATGCATTTAATGTCCCATCCGCCTGGCCCGCATCGTCGGTGTCATATACGGTCTTCGGTCATATAACAGAGTGCAGTTTGCATTTCGTGTTCCGCCCGCCCGCCCGGCTGGACGCCCCGCTCGTCGTTGGCGTCGTCGTCGACGCGTTCGTCGACTTTCTCGGTATCAGCCCCCGTCCTCCTCCGGCCCCCCCATTCGGGTTCGAATTCGGGTTCGAATTCGAATCCCTGGAAGGGAGGGGATCGTTTCACCCCCCTCCCCCAGTTTCCATTGAGGGGGGGGCTTCCCCCCCCTCTGCCCCCCTCCGGTTTCTGGGGAAGGCGGGGGGGAATTTTCGTTTCCCCCCCATGATCCCAGTTTCCCAGAGGTGTGGGGGGTGGGGGTGCAGCCAAGCGACGGTAGATCGCGATCTTGTGGAGATTCCAACATCGTGCCACACCGCATGAATCTTTGCCTGGGCAATGTACTGCGCCGCCTACGGGGGGCGAACCCCGCTGTCCCTGTGACCCAGACCCCCGACGTCATGATTTTTTCATGACGTCGACCCCCCGAGGTCTCGACCCATTCCCCGGGACCGGTTTTTCGTCCTGAGTCGTTTTTTGACGGTCCCGAAGGCCGGTAAGGGCCCCCAAAGGCCAAAAATAAGGAAACATTTCCCGTCGTGATTTTTTCATAACTCGAGGGGGTCTGGGGACCCTGCCTGCCACGAAGGACGCCCTTCAAGGAGGACCTGCTCCGGCAGCGCGGGCCGGTGCCGGCCCCGGAGTACGAGGCGGTGCCCGGCGATGAGCTTGACCAGCGGGTGCAGCACCTCGCCGTGCAGCTGCCGGGGCACCTCGGGGAGTGCCTGCGGATCTGGCGCGTCGCGCGAGGTCGGCCGGCGGCAGCGCTCGGCACCGTCGCCGGTCCTGGCCACTCCCATCTTGGGCCCAGGATCGGCGGCTTCTCTTGCCGTCTTTCCCGGGCCAGGAGGCCGTCCAAACACCGATCCTGGGCCCAGGATCAACCTGGCCCGAATCGGCGGTACGCTATACAGTCAAAGCTCGTAGTAAGGACGCACGGAGGTCCTTAGGGTACCCTTGCGTCCTTGCCTCTGCGGCCCGTCCTTCGTGGCTTTCACTGGCCAGCCCTGCAGGGTGTTGGCAGTCCGCCGCCCAAAAAGTGTCAACTTCGGCGTCCAAGGCCCTTGCGTCCTTACCGCCCGTCCTTCCTATAGATTTCGACTGAAGTAGCTGTCGTCGCCCCAAAAGGCGAGTACGAGATAGGCGCAGACAGGGTGCGCTTAGAGTGGCGATCACAGCAGGTGCCGAGCGGCCCACGCGTCCAAGAGGTGGCCAGCAGGGAGGTCTTCGTTGTCGGGGGAGGTGAGAAGGCCAGCGAGCCACTGCCGCTGTATCTGCGACACACCGCAAGCGTTGCCTATGACCTGCAGTTCGGTGGCCCGCTGGCCAAAGTGCCGCAGCGCAGCCGCTTGTCCTTCGCCGAGCAGGTTGGCATTCCCCTGGCTGGCAGCGACGGCGAGGCGAAGTTCGCCGCGATGGCGGTCGCCACAGAGCAAGCAAGACTGCGGGAGAAGGCGGCTGCCGAGTGGCAGAGGGCAGTCCGAAGCGATGCAGCGTCTTCACTACCACAGCCGTACAGCCATTGAATACGGATGCAAGTAAGCGGGTGTAGGCAAGCGCGATGCAATGTCCACATTGCCACAGCCGTGCAGCCATTCTGCGTAGGAATTCGGGCAATGGCACGAGCTTCGAACAGAGTTGCTAAGCTCCATCGCTAGTGCCGCAGCTAGCAGGCTGAAAATACACCGTCGATGTCGCCGATGTTGCAAGCGCATTGGCCAGCACCGCTAAAGTCAGTCGGTCTCTCAGGCTAGTTTTTTCCTGAATGGCCTTCCTCGTGTCGCCATTTGTGTCCGACGCCGCTTTCGCTGGAGCTGTTTCGCTTGACGTCTGCCATCGTTTGGCTTTACGTTCTCGCGCGCCACTTGATCATGGCCGTCTCTCAGAAACTCTTGAACAGGTGTCTGCGTCTTCGGTTTCCCGAAATTTGTCCTGACGATGCCGTCCTATCCCAGCCAGGGGCGGCACGGGGAAGGAACCCATCATGAGGAACAGGCGGAGGGGCAGAATACATATACATAGGAGGTTCAATAGAGAGGAAGAAGGAGATGGGACGAGAGGACGGATCATACTGTGTGTATTCAGTCTTATTCGTTTCAAGTGGTTGCGATCTGGACCAGGATGAAACTTCGGGTGAAATAAAAGGTGGCTGCATATATGCTGACACCCGTAGTGGTCATGTACGGGACGTGCAAGTACGACAGCTAAATTGTAGTTTACGATGGAATCAAGCGACGGACCAAAGCATGTCAAGCAACAACGTTCACAAACCGTTTTTGAAATTGGCACTGCGAGACGTGGATTCCTGCTGCATCCCGGGCGAGTCAGCGAAAGTGGAGGCCAGCTCAGGCCTCCTGGGGGTTCTTCATGGGCACCAGCGTGGCCACAGTGGCAATGACGAGGTCTCGAGCTGCTGCCCCGTTGCCGTCTCGGGGGGGCCTCTCCGACCGTCCCTGGGCGCCTTCTTCTGGCCGCCGTCGCTGCCGCTGCTGGCCCCGCGGATGCTGGTCCTCCCGCTGCCAGAGGGTCCCGGGACTCCTCAGGATGCTGTGGAGAGCCCTCCTACTCGGGGGCTGCCAGGGGGGGGGGGGATGACTATGGGGGGGCTGTTTACGGCGAGGTGCATTCCAGCATGCACGATCGGCTTCTAGCCGCAGGGTGCACGCCTATGCTGGTCGCTGATTGTTGCTCCTTCCGACGCGTCCAATCCAGTACTGTCCAGTCCTCCTTTAGGATGCAGCTCCTGGGAGGTCAAATTCACCATCAGAGCTTGCAAGTCTGATTTGATCCCTCTTAGTCCAGCTTCATCCCAAGCTCAGTCCGGCCTGATTTGGTTTCGCGGCCCCTGAACCTGGCTCGAGAGCCTTGGACCGTTCTCACGAAGACCTCCCTGGAGCTGCTTCCCGACTCCCTCCACCGCCAGCTCCTGTCTTCCTCCCCAGCCCTCCAAGGTTTCTCAACTCTTGTCGAAGTGGGATTCCCAGAGAGCCCTGGACGGTCCCAGGGCCAGGCTGGGGCCCCCAGACGCCGAGGACGACGAAAAGTCTCCGCGCCCTGATTCTGTCCATGCGCGGGAGGCCTGGGGCCCGGCCCTCCTCCTCCTACTCCTCCTCCTCCTCCTCCTCCTCCTCCTCCTCCTCCTCCTCCTCCTTCTCCTTCTCCTCCTCCTCCTCCTCTCCTCCTCCTCCTCCTCCTCCCCTCTCCTCCTGCTCCTCCTCCTCCTCCTCCTCCTCCTCCTCCCCATCCTCCCCCTCCTCTGCCCCTGGGTAGAGGTGGCGGGAGTCCCCGAGGACCTCTCACTGCACGGGCCGTCACCACACCCGTGGTGGGACCTCGGAGGCCCGCTTCCGCAGGCCCGTGGTGGGACCTCCTCCTCCACCTCCGATCCCAATATATTCCGACGACCCGCCGCGGCCAGACGTGTGCGCGGCGCTGCACGTGACCGATGCGGTCCGATTCCCCGATTCGACGCCGACCGCTCCTGCCACCTCAGCCTCTCGGCCCCTGGCGCCCTGGCCACTGTCTGTGCAGGGTCTGGCGGTGACCAAGGTAGCCATCGGACCCGCCCGCCCCCCCCCCTGGTGGGTGCTGGTGCGCGCAGGCGTACGCAGCACCGGCATGCGCAGGGCTGGTGAGGCGGTGCCGGGTGCGCAGTGCTGCCGCGCGCGGGCATACGCGGGGATGCCCAGAGCGAGAAGTTTCGGTTGTCGGCCGGCACCTCCCTTCCCCCCCCGCCCCAGCGGATGGCCCGGGCCATCGCCGAAAAAAGGGAGACCGATCTCTTTTGCCACCTCTCGGCGGAGGGCAGCGACACAGATCCGCCTCGTTCCTCCCCCCTCCCCTCTCCGAGGAGTGAGGAGATCAGTCAGAGGAGCAGGGAGGAGGAGGAGGAGGAGGAGGAGGAGGAGGAAGGAGGAAGGAGGTCGACCTGTACGAATGCCCGTTCCCTCACGAACCTCAGCCTTTTGGCCCCTGGGCTCCCTGGCTGCCGCCGCGCCTGACCGGCCTGGCGCGGTGCGCCCGCGACAGGCGGGCGCCCGCGCGGCGCGCCGGCTGCCCGCGATGCTCGGCAAGGCCCAGCGCGCGTGGGAGGATCGCCTGCTGCACGCAAGAGGGACACTTCGCCAGAGTCGGCGCCAGTTCGGGGTCTGGGGTGGCCCAGCCCCTTGGCATCGCTCGGACGTGTGCCTTTTTCCTCTCGAGGACCATCCCGGACCATCGAGCGAAAAAGCCACGCACGAAACCGAAAAACGCAAAGGAAATGGACGTCCGAGCGACGGCAAGGCCCTGCTGCCGGCCAGGAGGGCGGGGGGGCGAGGTTCGAGGCTCTGGCTGCGCCGGGGGTTTTCGTGGCCTCGGGGGGCCGTGCGCGGACACGGGGCAGAATCGAAGACGGATCCCGCGTGAAGCCCGCTTGTACCAGACGGCCCCCCTGGAGGGGCTCTGGGGATCGGTTTCGAGCGGATTTTCTGCCCTCGTCCCCCCGTCTTGATTGGTTTTCTCAGGCCCCGTCCAGTTCAGACCCCCCAGGCGCATGCAACGCTGGAGTGACTTTTGGTGCGGATCCAATGGGCCCCCCGTTCGTTGAACGCCATAGGATATAGCAGCGGCTTGCGCGCCTGGGGTTGTCCCCCCGCGCTCCCCCGTAAGGCCGCGCACCAGAGGTCACTCGTGCTTAGGGTCGCTACTGCGTGCAGCCGAGAGGACGACGGCGCGAGCGACGAGGACCAGAGGAGGAGAAAGTACCGATGTCGCGACCTTTCCCCCTCGTTTGGGCCTTGCCAGGCCTCCTGGGAGGCCCACGTCGCCATTGCCAGATTCTCCTCGACTGGCCGGAACGCCCCAGGAGATGTCCAAGCATGAGTAGGAGGAGGAGGAGGAGGAGGACGAGGAGGAGGAGGAGGAGGAGGAAGAGGAGGAGGAGGATGACCAGTGTAAACCCAAGAGTCATCAACGATGTTGGAATCAACCCTCCCTCCAAGTGCCTTCTTCATGGGCCCCTACAACGGTTCATCTTCATTGAGGGAACTGCCTCGTTGGAAGACAACCGTTTGAAGACCCTGAAGCATGCCCAAACATTGTTCTCGGAATGCCAACGCCACGGATCAACCTGACTGGTGCGTCTTAACGATCCTGAATCGTGCCAGAACGCCAGTCCTGGGACTTCAACACCGCACATCAACATAACTGTTGCACCTGCATAATCTCGAATCTTTCAAACAAAAACACCACTTCTGGTACGATGATCATGGGAAACAGTGAAACTCTTGCAAATTGTATAAAGGACTGTGCGCGGCGCTAAGGTGAGAGCCACATGTTGAAAAGAAGCCGCCATCAATCCGTGAACTCTTGCACATGTAAAAAACGGATGTGCGCTGCGCGAAGGCGAGAGCCACATTTTGAAAACGAGTCGCCCTCAATCCGCGAAGCTCTTGCACATGTTTAAATTAAACGGATGCACGTTGCGCTAAGGCGAGAGTCACATTTTGAAAACGACCCGGCTTCCATCTGTGAAACTGTTGCCAATATTTACGCTTCAGAGTCAAAAGTGGTGAGGAAGTCTCAGGCGAAACGCCCAGACCGCTCTAAAAGCTGCCCTCGGGGCGCGACAGGAAGAAGTTATTGCTAAGGAGCAGGAATTGGAGAATGAGGAGGAGGAGGAGGAGGAGGAGGAGGAGGAGGAGGAGAGAAGGACGAGGAGGGGGAGGAGGGGAGGAGGAGGAGGAGGAGGAGGAGGAGGACGAGGAGGAGGAGGAGGAGGAAGGGGAGGGGAGGAGGAGGAGGAGGAGGAGGAGGGGAGGAGGAGGAGGAGGAGGAGGAGGAGGAGGAGGAGGAGGAGAAGGAGGAGGAGGAGAGGATTTGAGGCCAGGGCATTGTGGAGTCGCACGTCGTTTTGATCTGGTCTTCATCTAGTGGAACGCTCCTTCATCTTTAAATTTTGATGTTTTTTTGTAAGTCCCAACCCTCCTTGGTTGGGTATTCGTTTTGAATAGAGCACTGCGGTCGCGTCCTCCTCCCGCCTCCCTTCTCTCGCTTTCCTCTTGTCTCCTCTTGTCTTGTGCGTACCTCGTGTGTGTGTGTGTGCGTGTGTGTGTGTGTGTGTGTGTGTGTGTGTGTGTGTGTGTGTGTGTGTGTGTGTGTGTGTGTGTGTGTGTGTGTGTGTGTGTGTGTGTGTGTGTGTGTGTGTGTGTGTGTGTGTGTGTGTGTGTGTGTGTGTGTGTGTACGCGCGCGCGCGTGTGTGTGTGTGTGTGTATGTGTGTGTGTGTGTGTCTGTGTCTGTGTGTGTGTGTGTCTGTGTGTGTGTGTGTGCATCCTGGCTGCGGTACCTCTTGTGTGTGCATCTTGCCAAGGGGCTGCGATCTGCGACAATGTCGCCACTTTCGAGGGCTGCTGGTGGGTCCTGCGGAGTGAGGCACCGCGGGGATCTGAGCGAGACCTCGCCGTCCCTGGGGGGCTGCGATCTGCGACGCCGGCGCCACTTTCGACGGCTGCTGGTGGGTTCAGCGGAGTGAGGCACCGCGGGATCTGATCGAGACCTCGCCGTCCCTAGGGGGCTGCGATATGCGACGCTGTCGCCACTTTCGAGGGCTGCTGGTGGGTCCAGCGGAGTGAGGCACCGCGGGGATTTGAGCGAGACCTCGTCGTCCTTGGTGGGCTGCGATCTGCGAGACCGTCGCCACTTTCGAGGGCTGCTGGTGGGTCCTGCGGAGTGAGGCACCGCGGGGATCTGAGCGAGACCTCGCCGTCCCTGGGGGCTGCGCGACGCCGGCGCTTTCGACGACAGCCGATCTGAGACCTGCGACACTTTCGACGCTGCGGAGTGAGGCAGCGAGACCTCGTCGTCCTTGGGGGGCTGCGATCTGTTGCCACTTTCGAGGGCTGCTGGTGGGTTCAGCGGAGTGAGGCACCGCGGGGATCTAAGC